ACTTATTCTATCACATGACTTTAACAACATAGAAAACTGGCTCCAGCCTATATTAAATTATTTCTCCGGCTCTTGCCGTAAGAGATGAACGATGGTCTCTTGACCATGGGGAAGCCAATTGCGAAGCTCGATTACTGCATCGTCCAAAAATGGGTTATTATGCACGGCCAAAAAGGCTGATTCCTTGAGCAGCGCGATAAGACAACTGAAACTAATTGTCGCCCGCGTCTCAATATATTGCAAATTTGTTTACGCTTCTCCTGAGGGAAGAAGTGTAAACGGCGGGAGTGGGAGAACTCTCCGCCCTTACTACTAGATCAGCAAAACTGATCACAGCGTGGGTCGTCCCCGCTGTTCAAGTTAGCCTAAAATTAATTATGATGGGAATTATAAGATGGGAATTATTGATACAAAATTAACACAAATAAACCCTGTTCATTTCTCATGAACATCCTGCCCGGGGACCGCGCTGGAAGATGGCTGCGATGCTCTTGCCTCTAGTAGCCTGTTGAATCTTTCAGCTAAGTCCTCATCGTTCTTCTGGTCCCTGATCTGCTTCACGCGTTGTCGTCTCCAAGTGACACCTGCCAGGAAAGCTCCTATCAGGATGACCGTTCCTAGGATCGTTGCTGTAGGGGTTGGGTGGATCTTCCAAGATCGCTTCTGTCCGGAGCTCCTGCTCCTGGCTTCCACGTAATCTCCAGTGATCGGTTGGAGTGTACCTTCAAACTCCAGCAGGGTGACGTTGCAGGGCTTCCTCGGGAACCTGCTTGATATTTCATCAATCACGCATGTCGGTTGCTCCTTCAGACTGTGTACCGCATGTGGCATATATAAATACGCTTGCTGCAACGTCTGAGTGCATCCCTCATGGTGAAGGGTGAAGTATCTCCGGCTGTTGTAGTCGACAGTCGACGTCTCCGTTCCTGGGTCAGGTACAAAAAATGTTCCCTTCTACAGCCGTGCTGGAATGGGATTTACGTGCAGAAACTGGCAGCTGCTCTTCTCCAGTATCCGGAGACTGCCGTGCACGTGGATGTTCTCATTCTTCAGAATGAGCTCGACGATTGTCGTCGGAACCGTGAGTATCTGATAACCCGTACCAATCTTTGCTAACGCTCTTCTTGTGATCCCCGCCAAAGTCTTGCGTGAGGAAAAGTCTAAAAGACTCACTCTTCCCGTTTCTGCTCTCGAGAGTCGCTCCCAACCTTCGTCGAGTTCTTCCGAGTGATCGCTAGCGGCGGTGTACATAAGCCGTACCTCCAATCTTACGCGGTTGTGGTCTGATGCTGCGTTCCAACGCTGTAGGTCCGCTGTCAGTTGAACCATTTCATTAATCTTCTCAGTGTACTGCGATGGCTTGCTGTTCACTTGATCAACGCTTTGGTCCACCTTGGCGCATAGAAGCATGTTATACTGATTCGCCGATGTGTCCTGCCTACACATTGGCTACATCAAGTCGGCTACATCATTGTAAGCCTCGTCGTTGACTCCTAAACCTTCGACATAGAGCCCAGTCTGTGGCTCGAATGTACTGTAATTATGAGTCCAGGCTGCGCCAAACGTCAGTAGCGTCAGAAGTAGGAACAATAGGACTGATTTCCATGGAACACGGAAACATCTCGAAGTGCGAATTGTCCTGCTGTTGCTTTCAGTTTGGTGTTTCCCAGCCGCCTCCTCGTTGGTCGCCTGATCAACTGGATGTTTCACAATCTTGATGATGGGGCGCGTTTTCGATCCGTCCTCTGTCTTGAGTTCCACTACTCGGTTTACTCCATCGTCTTCAGGATGCCGCTGTTGTGGCTGATCTCTTGACCAACCTTTTCCTAGAGACCGGTGTAACCTTGTAACCTTTTTCCACTTCCAGGTGGGCTCTTCCTCCACCACCTCCTCCTCGGGCGGGGCCATCAATTGCTTTCCGATGAGGAAATCTCCCGGCATCAGGGCCGCAAGATCGGCTGAATCACCAACTGCTGGTGAGAGGGACATCGAGTTCAGCGTCGCCTCGATCCTTTTCAAGACGGTCACGAACTCCTTTTCGCATCCATGCTGTTCCTTGACGGGCTTAATCTCCTGATCTAAGTCCCCTGTGTCATTAATTTCTCCGTTGTTGTAGCCACCATGCTGATGACGTGAATTTCTTTTGGCTTATGCGCACCCATGAGCATCCAGCCTAGTTCAGTGTTCTGAGCGCTGATGTCTTCAGCTTTCTTGATCCCCTCCTTGAGAATCGCTGCATATATCCGTGAGCCCAGATGTTCCGGTTGAAACATGCAGTAAATGAATGTTAGATTTAAGTCCGAAATTGAGACACTATTTTTTACTATTTCTAACATTCTCAGGCCAAGCAAATTTAGTTTAAGTAATAGGTATACATCTTAGATTAGATTAGATTAGAAATGGGGGTGGTACAAGAAATTCTTGCTCCACGGCATCCAGGCCATCTGACGGGCCCTTTATGCATCCCCAGGAAAATTTCCCATTTAAGGGCCAAGATCCAAAGCTAACCAGTCATCCAGTTACCTTTCAGACGGTACAGCTTTGGCCTGTGACTTTCATTGATATCTTATTTTTATTTATGTCGTCCCTCTCCCCCGGTTATCCTCTGATTTTTTCCCACTCAGAGGGCAAGGCTTTCAACAAGTGAGCCAGTCAAATTCACAGACTAGCAGAGCTTGGCCTTGGGCGTGTTTGCAGACGATATCGCCTATTTACAAGCGACACCAGTCTGGTAGTGTGCCCATCTATAAGTAAGGACAGATGCGAAATACACTTCCACAGAAGTTTCTACTTCAGTTGGAACATTTAACAGCAACCTTAAATTGGGCTGGAATTTTATATTTGCCATTGAAAGGCTTAATATTTTTCGCATCTGTTGTGTTCGATCATTTGCAAGTGATGGGGATCGAACACACGACCGTGATGTCCTCAGTCTGGCTCTCTACCGACTGCACCACGGCCGCCCAGGTATACATCTTAATCGCCAGGTTTAGGTAAAAAAGGTTTCAAATTTCAGCTAGATTAGAAAATAATAGTACCATTTCTAACCCCTTGCACGGCGGTGTAAAATATGCCATTTCCACCGCGAAAACCCGAATATATTTCAGCACACTAGATACTAACCACAACAAGGATCAAGTCCTGACTGAATCCTTGTTGATAAGATAAGATAAATGGGAGAAAAATCAAATAATCTAATCTCCATATAAAGTCATATGAGTCACACACTCGATGACCCACATTCAGAAAAATGCAGCGGGTGCATTTCTCGCCACCACTTTTCGTCACTTCTTTTGTCACTTTGAATTTGTCGATATTACAATTTGTCGCCGAATTAATTAAGTAGGGATAAGAATTTTGTGTATAAAAGACGGTGTAATGCATTGAATAAATCAGACTTCGCATGGAAATCCAGCAGCTTTCAATAAGTAAGCTTCCCTTCCATTAATATTTGCGATTTCTCAGGACCACTTAGCCTTGTCCGCAGCACCTCCAGTGCTTCTTTCAGCGGCTAAGTCTCTGGCTAATATCAGCGGCACTCTTGCCATTCATATTAGCGGCCAGAGTCGGCTCTTTCCCTGCCTCTACCAGCGGCTCCTCTTCAAGGAGCTCCAGTAAAAGCGGCAGTAGAGAAAGAAGTATTTTCTGAGGCTAAACCTTAGCCCAGTGCAAATCGGAGGCACCACCGGTGGTCGCCACTCACCAGGGAGCATTCTTGCTTAAGCCCGGTGGCATTAAATTGCCGTTGACCGAAGGCATTTTAGTCCATACAGGACGCGCCTTGCACTGTTGCAGAAGATACTTTGTTCTCTAGAGGGAGCAAGGGGACCTCTTGAAGAAATCGAGAGGCGACTTTCCTCCAGCAAAGTAATTCTCTAAAAAAGCCGATAGAGAATCTTTACATGGTCCTTCGAGCCATCGTAACTTTACATGGTCCTTCGAGTCATCGTAACATATCATAAACTCACTATCGATCAATTACAGTGAGCAACATCAGCGACATTTCATCGCAAGGAACCCCATCCAGGGCTGTCACTCCAGACGTTCAGCCTCCCGAGAGTGGTCATCAGAAGGAAGACCACCGTAATCCACGCACCAGACAGGAGCGTCCCAAAGTGAAAGAATATTTCACGGAGAAGCACCCCGCTTCACATCCCACCGAGAAGCACCCCGCTTCACATTCAGCCAAGAAGCGCCCCGCTTCAACTCCCAAGCACACCGCTTTGAAATCCATCGAGAAGCAACCCGCTTCACTCTCCAAGGATTTACGCCCCAAGGAGAAACATCGTAGTGAGGAACGCCCTAAGCTATCATCTGAGGAAACTCAACGGCTTGTCAAGCAGTGGCTGCTAGAGAACTCTTGTCGTGTGGATCAACCGGCACACCCCAAGATTCCACGCAAGAAAATCACCCTAGACGATTATCGTCGAAGGAACGGCACCATTGCACCCCGAGAGATCGTACTCACGCCCAAGCCGCCAGCTCCATTCCGCATCCCGAAGCTTGATAAGGCGAATCATCCTCCGCTGCTGCAGATTTCACCCCTGGAAATTGAAGAAGACGTCAAGAAAACGGACAAATTGGAACCCCCCAAATCAGTCCCAAAGCATCGCCAAACCATCGCGCCTCCGAAGCGTCTTCTGACCAGGAAATCTCAGCTTCCCAAGCCGCAGAGATACGAGCCGTTCCTCGCTGAGCGTCCAGTCCTCGAGCAGCGACACATCGTTCCTGTGCAACAGCCATCCAGGGCCATCGATCACGGACGGTCCATCACGATCACTGTTCCTGGTGACACATCCCTCCATCAAATCCGCAATCTGCTACCACTTGGAGTTCCCAGAGTAGAGCAGAGGAAGGGCAGGAAAAGGGGCGGACGACAGGTCAGGCTGCGTCAGCTCAAAGCAGTCATTCGAAAACTGTCCAAAAAGCAGCCTGTATTCGCTTGAAAAAACAAATAAATACACTTTCTGCTTGCCACATAATCACTGCACTTTTCCACCATGAATATTGATGACGCAGTATCTCGCCAAGTTGATCTTCTCTCTATGCTCAAAGAGATTCGTGACAGATTCACAAAAGAGGGCCCCACTCGTCGTGCCAAGAAAGGCATCTCTTATCATCAGGATCAATTCGACAAACTCTTGACAATCTGGAAAGAATTCGACCAAAATGACTCTCAGCTTCGTCAATCAGCTGATGAGAATCATGAATACTTCACTTCGTTCACATATGATCTTGGAAAAGACTCATATAAAAAAATGAAATCATTCATTGAAAAAGCCATGACAACGGACTTTCAAGCAAAGCCCAATCCAGAGCCCAAACCTCTCGACATTCCCGCGGGAGACTCACACAATGAAAACAATGATGGTAATCCGATACCACCTAATGACAATGGGCAGCGACTTCGCCAAATGCTCGATGCACTTTCATCCACTGATCAAATCACTGATCAAGAGGACTGGATTCGTCCCAATTCTCTTCCAAAATTGCCTCCTGTAAAGCTACACAAGTTTTCGGGCAAAAATGAAGAATGGCAAGCCTTTATCGAGCTCTTTATGAGTGTCATCCACGGCAACCCATATATCAGCAAAGTGCAAAAACTCCACTATTTGATTACTTATTTAGACGGACAACCAAAGCAACTCCTCGCGCATTTTTCTCTCACTGACGCTAATTACGATAGCGCTCTCCAAATCCTCAATGCGCGTTACAACAATCAAAGACAGATGGTCACCAACTATATGAACGCAATTGTTTATCACAAAAAACTCAACGTTGGATCCGCGGACGACGTGATCCATCTCCACGATGCTATTAACTCCAGTTTAGCCGGATTAAAGAATCTTGGCTATGACATCTCCACTTGGGACCCCATCCTCGTCACTGTCGCCATTCAAAAGTTTGACCTAGACTCAAACAAGGCCTTCGAGGAAAACATATCCGATATAACAGCTGTTCCAACCATTCCAGAGCTCCTCAAGTTTCTCATGAAGAGATATAGAGTTCTACTTACCAGTCCCAAGGATGGCCATCAATCTAAAGACAAGAAAAAGTCTTTCCATATCACTTCTGCTAAAGACAACTGCTCAAAATGTGGCAGAAATCATCCACTGATCAAATGTTTTGAGTTCAAGAAACTCAGTCCCTATGACCGGACACAGTTTGCAAAAGATCAGAACTTATGTCTCAACTGCCTATACCACGACAAAAAAGACCAATGCAAGAGCAAGAAGACTTGTTTTACTTGCAACAAAAAGCATCATACACTGCTACACTTCGAAAACAAGAAGTTTGCTGCACAATCTCAAGCTACAAAGGCTCAAGTTGAAGACGCCTCCGAGACAGTAGCCATGTACAGCAAATCCGCCTCCGTCATTTTACCCACTGCCCAACTCAAAATTCAAGCCCGTGACGGTGGTTGGCACCTCATGCGTGCTCTCCTGGACACCGGCTCAGGCGAGACATTCATCTCAGAGAGTGCTGCACAAATTCTGAGGCTTCCTAAAAGGAAGCTCATGATCAATATCAAAGGCATCGGAGAAGTCAATGCAGGGACTTGCAAGGCTGCAATTGACATAATTATCTCTCCACGCATGGCTTCAGACCAAAAGTGGAACACCACTGCACTAGTTCTTCCAAAACTATCCTCATTTTTGCCAGCAAATCCCATAAGCTCCAGTTTCGATCTTCATAGAATTGAGAAACTCACATTGGCCGACCCAAAGTTTAATGTTCCAGGCCATATAGACCTCATTCTCGGCACTGAAATCTACTCTCAAATCATCAGAACTGATTTGAAACGTGACCCAAGCGGCTTGGTAGCTCAAGAAACAGGCCTTGGGTGGATAATCCTGGGCAATACACTCAATCCGGGACAACACCGAGAAGTCATCAGCATGATCTCACTCGCAGATCTTGATAAATCGCTCAGAGCTTACTGGGAAATGGACACTGGAGACGGAGCCACAATCGAAGAATATACCGAATGTGAGGAGCACTTCGAGTGCACTCATCTTAGAGGCAGTGATGGACAATATCAGGTCCGCCTTCCATTTAAAAATATAGAAAATGCCCAGCTTGGAGAATCCAGGAACCAAGCACTCGCACGTTTCCTCTCAATGGAGAAGAAATTTGCCGCAAATGCAGACCTAAAGAAGTCCTATTCCAAGTTCATGACAGAGTATCTGGAACTTGGACACATGACAGCGGTTCCCAATTACACCGGTCCCCCCGAAAAGGTGTACTTCCTACCACATCATGCTGTCTTCAAGGCTGACAGTACAACCACAAAAACACGAGTTGTCTTCGATGGATCAGCCAAAACCAACTCAGGACTATCTCTCAACAACCTCCTCCACACAGGACCAAAGCTCCAACAGGATCTACCGAACATCCTAACAAGATGGAGAAAATACGCCTATGTCTATACGGCAGATATTGAAAAAATGTTCCGCCAAATCTTTCTTCATCCTGAAGATCGTGATTATCATCGTATTCTCTACAGAGATAATCCACGTCAATGCATCCAAGAATTCCAACTCAACACAGTCACTTATGGGAGTGGACCAGCCACTTACCTTTCGGTAAGGGTACTGCATCAACTCGCAGCAGATGAGGAACATCGTTTTCCAAGGGCTTCCAAAATCCTAAGGCAAGACTTCTATGTCGATGATTTGCTAACAGGTACCCACTCACTGCAAGATGCCAAAGCGCTATATCATGAAATCATTGAGCTGCTTAAACTTGGCAAAATGAACTTGCTGAAATGGACTAGCAATTGTCCAGAGCTCATGGCTGCAATTCCTGATCATCTCCGAGAAAAGGGATCAATACTTCTCAAAGAAGAAGACACGATCAAGGAGCTTGGCGTCTACTGGTGTCCACTAAAGGACATATTTCAATTCAAAATCAACCTGAACAAGAAGGAGGTCCTAACAAAACGAAGCATTGTCTCCGAAACAGCCTCAATCTTTGACCCAATAGGCTGGCTTGCACCTGTGATACTTCGTGCAAAACTCATCATACAACTTATCTGGAAGGAAGAAATTGACTGGGACTTTAAACCCTCCGACACCGTCATTAGGATGTGGCGAGATTTCCGGGCCGACATCAAGAATATCGAAACCATCCAAATACCTCGCTGGACAAACTATACCCCAGAAGCGAGGGTTGAAATTCACGACTTTGCAGATGCATCAACAAAGGCTAGTGCCGCTTGCGTCTACATGAGAACCACGGTTAACAACAAAACCACTGTCTTCCTACTCACAGCCAGAACTAAAGTAGCTCCAGTGAAGGGACACATAACACTCCCAAGAATGGAGCTCTCCGCCGCAGTACTTCTCGCCAACCTAATGAAAACCACCCTTCAAAGCCTTGAGATAAGACCAGATGCAATCCATGCATGGACAGACAGCATGATTACTCTTGCTTTGATCAAAAGAGATCCTTCTACATGGAACACATATGTAGCCAACAGAGTAGCTAAAATTCACAAGGCAATTCCGAGAGACATCTGGGGTCATGTTGAAACCGAAGAGAATCCAGCTGACATAGCCTCACGAGGTACCACTGCAGCGCTGCTAGCTTCCCATAAGCGCTGGTGGGGCGGCCCAACCTGGCTACGCCATCCCCAACACATGTGGCCTTCAATCAGGAACAAGCACCTCAAAGACTTTGATGACGCGCTTTTAGAAGGTACCGGCTGTCTTTTTACACTGAACGTAATGAACTCCACCGCAACAGTAATGGCAGCCTTAGAGTCAGTCCCAAAGCCACCTCAGCCAACAGAAACTTTCCTGAATAAGTTTTCTTCCTTCAGGAGACTTGTCCTGGTCATTGCGACGCTACTCAGATTTGCTGATAATTCGCGCAAATCTCCAGAAAAAAGGGTCAAAGGTAGCCCTACTGCCACAGAAATCCAGAAGGCAAAGCTAAGAGTCTTTGGAATGATTCAAGCAACATTCTTATCAGAAGAACTCAAGGCGCTCCAAACCAATAAGCCACTGCCAAACAAGAGCAAAATCAAGGATCTTAATCCATACCTTGAAGATGGGCTTATCAGAGTTGGAGGAAGAATCCAAAACTCTCACCTTCCGGATCATGCCAAGCATCCGATACTTCTTCCAAAATGTCATACTACGGAAACACTCATCAGAGAAGTCCACGAGAAAGAGATGCTTCATGCAGGAGCTCAACTCACCTTGAATCAACTACGCACCAAATATTGGGTAGTCCAAGGACTCAGATACGTCAAAGGTGTCATCAGAAAGTGCGTCAAATGCATAAGATGTAAGCAAGGCACTGCAAACCAGATGATGGGCAACCTTCCAGCCTCACGAGTGACTCCAGCGCCTCCATTCTCAAAAACCGGGGTCGACTACGCAGGCCCAATCATCACACGGAGGAATAAAGGCCGAGGAAATGCAAATGAAAAATGCTACATCGCAATTTTCGTCTGCCTAGTTACCAAGGCAATACACATCGAAGCCGTCAGTGATCTGAGTACTGAAGCCTTTCTTGCTGCACTACGTAGGTTTATCAGCAGGAGAGGAAAGCCATGTCTGGTAATGAGTGACAATGGGACCAACTTTGTGGGTGCCAAACGCGCACTAGACAAAGAAACAACCGAAGCCATAAAGAAAGCAACCAAGGTGGCTGCTGCCCAGCTTGCCCAGCAAGAAATTGAATGGAAATTCATTCCACCTGGCACACCACATTTTGGGGGACTCTGGGAGGCAGCAGTAAAGTCTGTCAAACATCATCTTACCAGAGTAATCGGCCTCACCAAACTCACATTCGAAGAGTTAACCACCTTCCTCTCCCAAGCCGAGGCATGCGTGAATTCACGTCCCATTGCACCTCTATCGAACGATCCCAATGATCTACAAGCGCTCACACCTGGTCACTTCCTAATTGGAAGGCCTCTCACTGCGCCACCTCAAGCTGACCAATCAGATACCAATCCTACTAATAGATGGAGATTGATCCAGAAGATGTACCACCAACTCTGGAAAAGATAGTCACACGAATACCTAACCACCTTGCAGCAAAGGACCAAGTGGCGTGATCCTAAGGAATCTCCAAAGGTAGATGAGCTTGTTCTCCTCAGAGAAGACAACCAACCATCGCTCAAATGGCCTCTAGCCAGAGTGACCGGCCTTCATCCTGGAGCAGATGGACTAGTTCGAGTAGTTACCATTACGCTCAAAGGCAACAAAACAAAGCAAGCTCCAGTCCATAAGCTGGTCCAACTTCCAACACACAACAGTGAAGACATCGCAGCTCCACATTCATCACCGTCAACTGATGTCGCCATCACCAAGAATCCGGAAGCACCAAAACCTCCTTCTGGAGTTTCTCCAAGGCGACCTGTCACACGGTCAATGGCAAAAAATGTTTTGCTCACTGCTCTTCATCTCATGTGCCTGTTCTCAATGACCTTTGGATCAAACTACACAATTACGAAACCCGAACCTGGACTTTACATAGAAAAGTTGGGTAGCGTACAACTCACCAGAGGCACATTACGATTGGACCTTTCATTCTCAAAGGATTCCTTTAAACAAGATCAGAAAGACATTGTTTCAGTCTTCTTTAAGACAAAGTCTTTATGTGCCGAATCAAGTAATCACGACAAGAGATCACAATGCTGTTAAGTAACTAAAACACTGAGATCTTATAATCACGCAGAACTTTATTGGTTGAAGGTATTGACGAGACTGACTATACAATTTGGGGGAATGACAATATATGGGGACTTAATTGCTAAATGGGCATTATCAAATATTGGACTATGGATTGGGGTTTTATGCTGAATATTCTTATTCTATAATTGTGTCACAACACTCCTCCATCCTTAGGGAAAGTGCGAAGCACGGTAATAGACTTATTCCTAATTTGTGACACAATTTTACATTAGTTCTTGAAGTTAATTAATGAATCTATGCTTGGATATAATAGTAATTATGAAAATAAATGGATATAAGATATAGTTTATTTCTCTGATATATTAGATTGTTATTTGTTCTTCTATATTTATTTTATTTATTTTTCCTTCACCTTTACAATATAGTGTGGATTATTTCTAAGTAAAGTATTTATATCTAAAATTATTCGTGGTCGTCTAATTTATTTGCAAGATCTATAAAATATGTTCTCTAGTTATGTTGTGCTCGTGTTCTCTCTCTCTCTCTCTCTCTTTCTGTGTCATAATCGGGTTTTATATTTCCTAAATTCAGCGAACTATAATTCGTCGATGATTTTCTACTATGGCGGGTTCTATTTTCACTTCTTCTACTTCGTCTTGAACTACGGGTATTGTCGCTGATTCTATGGCTAATGGGGGAGAGATAGTTGGTCGAAATTTCGCTATGTATGGTCTAACGATTCTCCTTTGTGTAATGGGGCGTTTTTTAAGATATCTGAAGATAATTGTTCCGAAAACTACTAGTCCTACTATAGATAGTATACCGGTAATGTTAGTGGCAACATAATGCATTATTCCTGGGGTTGATGGAATTTCTGGGGTTGATGGAAAAAATTGTGCTTCTTTGAGTAATGTTTGAATGTTTTTGTCATAAATGTTGGATGTTATCGTAAGTGGGTGGATGGTTGGGGAATCGGAGGGTTTAAAGTGAATGAATTTGATCTTGGCGTAATCTTGAATGTCTTCGATGGGGTTCACTATTTTTGATGAATTTGTTTGAATCGTGGAAAAAATATGGATTCCTTTGTCGTTCAAGCGACATCCGCTTCTGAGTCGGATAATTCCTCTCTGTGATAATTCTATGTCTTCTGTATTCTTGGTACTTTCGCAGTGTAATTGTACTGTTCTGTTTTCTGACAAAATATAAAGGAAAGTATCATCTCTTGTCTGTAACCAAGCGTTAATTTCGAACGGGGTTGGTACTACATTGCACATGTCGGGTTTGGATTTTATAATAGAAAATTCGCATGAGTTTACGGAAGCTGTACGTAAAATATGCATAGAGCAAATGGGGATCTTTCGAATTGTCGTGCATTTTTCGTATTGTTGCATATTAAATAATGCGTAAGAATCGCGCTTTTCGTCTACTGCTATGTAGGGATGTGCAATATTGGTAATGAATGTTACGTTGTCTTTGGTGTGTGCTAAGGGAATAATGTGATAAAGTCGATATTCGGGATTTCTACATAAAGGTATTTTAATAAAGGCTGTAATCTTTTCCAGTGAGCCAGTAATGAAGATTTTGGCCACGGAATATAGTTCTGAAATTTGCAATGAAGGTAAAGATGATGAACTCGGGAGTTTTGGTGATAGGTGCTGAATCTCGTAATTGAATTCTTCAGGTCCTAATAAAAGGGGATGACATCTGCCTCCCATCGCGGAATGTATGATTGTAAGAAGTTGGTCAAGATCGTGTTGAGTTTTCTCTATGTCTAAATGTATAAGTTCTTCGAGGTCTCTTAGTACTTCTGCGTAGTGCGTGTACTCTTGCTCAACTTTCCACTTATTCACGAAGGTGATCAATTCAACTATTTTGTTTTGATTCTCGTTGACTTTTGATAATGTGGAGTTTAAAATTGAAGTGTGGGCTTGCATTAATGCTTTCATGGATGTATTTTCGTCGTGAATTATTGAAATCTTGAGATCTATTTCTTTTAAATCTGCTTGAGTGGCAGTTCCGAACAAAAATTTAGAGGTATCACCTACAATATCAAACCATCCTCTCTTCTGCCTATGAGTTTTCTTCGTTCCGATATTAGGGAGAAGTAGATGCTCTATGACTGATAAGGTTCTTTGACAGGATCTCGATTTCGATTTAATTTTCCCTAGTGATTCTCTACAATGTGCAAAATGTTGATGTAAGTCTTTTTTGATCGTAGTAATACACATTTTCTCTATCATTTTTATATTGTTCTCTATTGTCTGAATATTTTGCGTGAAGTTCGGAAGATTAAGCGTAGCGACAATCGTCCAATGAGCGTTGTTCAAACAGATGGGACCTAATTCCTGTACGTACGTGTTTTCGTCTTGGAGCGGAAGGATCGCATATTGCGCTGCACATGAAGCTCCAGGGATAAGACAAATGATGACCCAGATAAGGAGGGCTACATAAATCGAAGGGAGATTTTAGTTTTAATTTTCTATGTATAGCTTTAAAAGATTATTGTGATATATTTTCTCTCTATTGTTAATTTTGATCATTGTTGTTTCTGGGGAAATGATTTTCGTCACGACAAAAGGTCCTTTGCGACGTTCTAGCAACTTGGAACTTTCGCCGGGTTTCGGGAGAGTTTTGTTGATTATCAAAACTCGATCTCCAACTTTAAATTTTGACGGATTGATCTCCGCATCATAATGCGTCTTGCTCTTTTCTTTTCTATCTTTAATGAATTGGAGAGCAATTCTCTGAGACTGTATCAACTTTCGCCGTAAATCAGTTACGTAGTCATCATATGTTACTACAGGTTCGTCGGGGGAATTAATAAAGGACGTAATGTCTAATTTTTCGCCAAATATTAGCTCGTGTGGGGAAAAATTATGGGCTTGATGTTTCGACGAGTTGTGGGCAGCAACGGCTTTTGGGATCCATGAGTCCCAGTCGTCTTTTCCGTTCTGTGTATAAATTCGCAGATATTCTCCCAGCGTTCGGTGAGAGCGCTCAACTCCACCTGACGTCTGTGGATGAAATGGGGAGGCTTGGTTCTTCGTTATTTTGAGGAGTCTACAAACTTGTTTAAAAACTGCCGCAATAAAACAACCTCCTTGGTCACTACAGACTTGAATTGGGGATCCGAAAATGCAAATGAAACGGTCAACAAATGCTTCTGCCACAGTTATCGCGGTTTGGTCTGGGATAGCAACAGCTACTAAGTATTTTGAAAGTTCATCGTAGGCCGTGAGGATATATTTGTTGCCTTTTATGGTCTCTTTCAGAGGGCCAACAATATCCATGGTTATCCTATAGAAAGGGTACGGCGGCGTAGGAGTTACTTTCATGGGCATACGAGTGTTTCGGGAAATTTTATTTCTTTGACAAGCATCGCAACGGCTTATGTATTTCGCAATAATACGGCGCATGTTTTTGCAAACAAACTTCTCTTTAAAGCGTGCGTGTGTCGTGGTAATTCCTCGATGACCATAAATTGGGTTTTCATGAAATTCTCTAATTTTAGCAACGATTTCTTCAGGGTCAATGAGTCGTTTGACTTGATTAAAGTAAATAAGAATGCGGATCTGCGTATCCTTGAACAAATAGTTGATCATTCGTTTTACAAGGAAATACTCCAGTTGAGGGATATCGATATTTGGCTTTATCATCTTTATATCGCTAACGTTCTGTTCTTGGCAGTAGTTCTTTAATTTTGATAGAATTCGAAACAAAGAGGGATATGTTATTTCAGAGATTTTAGCCATTTTTCCGAAGACATAACGTGTGTTTCCGGTGTCTTCAACACGCATTTCAAAAGGGTCTATCTCATCAATAACACATCTGATTACATTCCTCTCGATATTTGGAAAATCAATAACCTCATTATCCTGACAGATAATCAGGAATTGAAGTCCATCACGATTGGCACCAAGAGATTCATCTTGAACCTCTGTGAGAAGCTGCGGAACGTCAATTTCTCTCTGCCTTACGAATTCTTCGTAATCGGAATTAAAATTATCTTGAGGCTTGCTGTCCTCTACTTTCTTTTCTAGTGCTTTTGTTTGTGATCTTGTGATCGCATATGTAGCATGATCATCGATCATCTTCTGAGTATTGTTCCTGATAGGCTTATGGAAAATGTCATGGAGTTTATCTAGAAGTTTCAGTTGAGCTTGTTCTGCTGGACGAAGGGGAATTCTTGAAAGAGAATCGGCATTTGTATTTAGCGAGCCTTTCTTGTGTTGAATTTTATAGGAATATTCTTCCAATTTGAGACGCCAACGTAAGATTCTGCTAGAAGGGTCTTTTATATTAAACATCCACTGAAGTGGTTTGTGGTCAGTGACTATAAAAAACTCCTTTCCTATCAAATAAACCCTAAAGTGTTTGCAAAAATAGTACACTGCTAAGGCCTCTTTTTCTATCGTGGAATAGTTCTTTTGAGCCTTATTCAATGTCTTGCTCGCGTATGCAATCACTTTATCATCCTGAGACAAGACGGCTCCTATCGCATAATCGCTTGCATCCGTCGTCAGGGTGAAGATTTTGGAGAAATCTGGGTATGCTAGGATAGGTTCAGTGGTCAATTTTTGTTTAAGGGTGTCAAAGGCATGTTGACACACAATGGACCATGAGAAAGTTTCACCTTGTTTCGTGAGTTTATTTAGAGGGTATGCTATTTCAGCGAAGTTTGGAATGAATCTTTGGTAAAAGTTGGCTAATCCCATGAAAGATTTCATCTCAGTTCTGTTTGTGGGAATAGGGAAATTCACAACAGCTGCGACTTTCTCTGGGTCTGTACAAAGACCGTCAGATGTGATTATGAATCCCAAGAATGATATTTTATTCTTAAAAAACTCGCATTTATTGGGAGAGAGTTGCAAATTATGCTCTTGTAGGCGTTGAAGGACTGCTTCCAGTTTCCGAAAATGCTCATCTAAAGTTTTGGAGTAGACGATAATGTCGTCTAAATACGCCATACAATGATCTTCTAAAAGATTTCCTAATACCCTGCGTATCATGCGAGAAAACGCAGCAGGTGCAGAACAGAGGCCCTGTGGAAGCCTTTGGAATTCAAAATGAGCGCCTAAAGCATTAAACGCAGTTTTGTGTTTGCTATCTTCTGAGATTCTCATCTGAAAGTATCCTGAGGCGAGATCCAGTGTGCTGAAGTAATGATTACCTCCTAAACAATCGAAGATGTCATCAATATTACTGATCGGATGCTGATCTTTTATTGTGACATCATTCAATTTACGATAGTCAATTACTATTCGCCAGCGTTTCTTTCCACTGGAATCAGCCTTTTTAGGGACAACCAGAAGAGGGGAATTGAAAGGGGAATAACTTGGGCGGATTATTCCACTCTCCAGCATCTCATTGATCTGCCGTTTAACTTCTTCGCGCTGATTGAAAGGTATTCTATAGGGTTTCTCATTAATTATATCCGCGTCGGGATAGGTCTGAATTTTGTATTCTTCCGTAAGAATATGCGTGAGCCGATCGCCATCCAAATGAAATGCTTTGCTGTATCTTTCACAAAGGGATCGGAATCTTCCGCGATATCCTGAATCGAGCTCCGCGTTAAATTTGGTTGATTTAAAAATAGTTGCTCCTCGAGGTGTTTCGGCGAGATGTTCATTCGAGTCTGAGAGTTCCATATTGTAAATATTAAAGCGTCTTAGCGGTTCAACTTCTACAACTTCAGAAGAATCGAAATGAATCTTTGCCTTCGAGGGACTCTCATTGATAATTGGGAGTCTAATTCTATTGTTGACGGGCTGAAGGATACATTCTGGGATGTAAATCTGCTTCGCCTCGTCCAACATTTTGTGCTTGCACAATAAAGGTTCATTGTACATGAGGGGCATTTGCACGAAAGTCTCGGAATTTCTACGTAAGCTTAATTTGGGAACTGCGATTGCGAAATGTGTAATATGTGTGTCAACTTTTTCCATGGTTGCGGAATCTCTGGAGGGGTCGCGAACTGCAGAGTTAGCAGTTTGATCAAGTCGTCGCGCCTTTTGCGAGTGCGCAAAATTATCATTATTGGGGCAGTTAGAATGCGGTGCATGCGAAGCAATGAATTTTGCTTTGTCAGAGAGTTCAATAGTACATTTGGGATTCGCGCCGTCCGTCGATTTATTTGGGTCAGATTGTTGTGCTTGCGTTTGCACGGCATTAGGCTGTGGTGAGTCGTTCACCTGTGGATTGAGATCTTCGAGATCTTCATCATCATCGACGGGGGGATCTCCAAAAGCTACTGACATATTGTGAGATTTAAGTAGCATGCATTTTTCTCTTATAAAGATTACTGCGTCCCATTCATATAAAAGATCGCGTCCTATGATTCCGGCAAATGGAAAATGATTATTGGGCATGACATGGAATTTCGCTTCAATAGGCAAGTCCTTGGACGATGTAAACCCTATCTTTGTGGTTACTGAACCGAGTGTTAGGAATCTACCTTGTGTAATTCCTCCTATCATGTGTCTTTCGGATGCTCGTACGAGAGTATCCTCATGCAATGCGTCAAGTTTGAGAAAAGACAATGATGATCCATTGTCTACAAGTATTGGGAGTTTACAATTTGGGTTTGTTGCTGTGTATAAGTATACGATATGAGGGTTGACAGGGTGAGCAACATAATTATTAGAATGTATTATTGGTTTCCGGTCATTGAGTGATCTTGCATTTGACTCAATGACCGGTTCTCGTTTTCCGACAACAAATGAGGGGTTGATTGCTCCACGGGGTACATGGTGGAGTTAAAATTTCCACCTCTGGGAATAAAAATTGTTGCCTCATTTCCTCCTTGGCGAGTAGCATTAAAGTTTGGTCGAGAATTATTGGGATTTTGCCTGGAATGGCTTGTATTTTGGGATCGATTCTGCGATGGAATCTGCGACTGATTTTGCGACTGATTGTATGATTGATTCTGCGACTGATTGTGCGATTGATTGCGTGACTGATTATGAAATTGAGACTGTGAATGAGTGTGATTCGGTGCTGTAGCCGACTGATTGCGCTGAGTAAAATTATTCACACTCTTACCAAATCGATTTCGCGATTGATCAAAATTATTCTGTCTCTGTGATTTCGTGAAAGATGCACCCGAATTCTCATTAGATCCGCTTTGATCAGCGTTCTGCCTAATCTCTTGAGTCTGGGGAGCATTAGTTTTTAATTGACTTTCAGCAAAAAGGATTGCTGATTGCAAATTGCTGAAATCACGAGCCAAGAGCAGAATTCGAGTATCAGAATGACGGATAGAATTCGCAAATGCGTTGATCGCCATCCGAGTGTTAGAGTCTTTTAAACCTGCTGGCAGAGAGCCATCTAATTGGGCCGCATATGCACCATTAAGTGTTTGCAGAGCATCTTGCACCCTCTGGCCATATGCTCTCAGAGATTCTTTGGGATAAATTGACATCCTCTGTAATGCCGTTATTGCGTCGGTTAGACAAACTTCAGGAGAGATCGCTGAGAGGAGAGCACTACGGAAATCTTGATAGGTAGCAAAACTTTGTCCACGAATATGCGTATGAACATCTGGGCTTAGCTTAATTAACAATAGTCTAATATATTCCGCATCTTTTGCAGGGGCTTGATCCGCGAAAAAGTCCTCATAGAGGCCATCACAAATGGATAGAAAATGCGAGACAATGTGTGGCTCACCAGTACATTTTGGGATGTCTCTGTAGATCTCGGTGAACGGGACTATCGGTTGATTCGCCATGTCTGCTGATGATTCCTCTCGATGATCTTGTTGCGATGAGGTGTCTGAAGCTGAAGATGGTGCTACTGATGTTCTGGTCGGTGGTGCTGGTGGAGCGTCTGGAGGTCTCTTAGAAGGCGTCTTCTTCTCTCCGTGTTGACTATTACTGACTGGAGATGCCTCGATGACAGTTGGTTCGTCGTATGAGAGCACTGACGAATCAGATGATGCACCAGATTCCGGAAGGTTTAAGATGTCTTTAATTATCGGCGACACTCCCAATGACAGTGGCGGTAGATTAGGAGGGAGTGGAAATCGTCCTGATGGTCCAGGTCTTGGTGTGATTGGTGTAGATGGTGTAAAATGATCTCCTTGAAGCTCAGGATTGTTGCAAAGAAGGCTTAATGATCCTTGCACAGGTGTTGAAGTTTCATGCGATGGTCGAGTGAGTCTCGGGTGATCTCGGTGTTTTACCACTTCTCTTGAAGATATCGCACTCTGTAGTCGATTGCTGTGTTGCTGTATCTTGCACAAGCTCAGGCTGCGACTTCATGCTATTCTTTTTCACAATCTCAGTTACGGGCTTTACGGTGTCTCTTAAATGCCAGCTTGTACGCCGGTTGGACATCAGAGACAACACTAGAGTTCTTTAAACTATTAAGCACTAATTATTGCACTTAAAAGGACACTTCTGACACCAGTGTTAAGTAACTAAAACACTGAGATCTTATAATCACGCAGAACTTTATTGGTTGAAGGTATTGACGAGACTGACTATACAATTTGGGGGAATGACAATATATGGGGACTTAATTGCTAAATGGGCATTATCAAATATTGGACTATGGATTGGGGTTTTATGCTGAATATTCTTATTCTATAATTGTGTCACAACAATGCCATATGCTGTCTCAACACATGGAACACGAAAGGCAGCTGCTCCTCAACTTGATTGATGATATAATTCAACTCAGTCAATCTCCACACACTCGTCAAAAACGCGGATTACTTGGTTTTGTTGTCAAATTAATCTTTGGCAGCAATGACGATGACCTATACACTCATCTTGAGTCACTTGGACACAACCATAACTCTCTTTTGCAAACAATGAATCAACAGACACTGCTCCTAAATACAAGAGTAACTCAGTCAAACAAAATCATTGAGCAAAAGATGAATCTGTTCAACGACAGAGTTCAGCAAATGCAACAAGTTATCTCTGACATGCAAAATCAGAACTCCGCCATCGATCAAAATCGAATGGACATTCTCATGCTAACAACCTACCTCGGAGCCACTGGATACTATGAAGAGTTGAAGCAAAAATACCAAGCTCTGATACGTGTCCTCACCAATAAGGCCAACAGCATTGATCTCATAAGCAAGACCCAGATTGATGAAAGGATTGAGTTAGCACACAAGAAACTTGGACCAAACTTGATCGTCTCAAGACAGATCCAGCAACCACTCAAGTTCAAGGTAGATAAATCCACCATCTATGTCTACACTTACCTACAGATAGTTGAGACCAATTCCTATCAGCTGATCCATATAACTCCCATTCCTCAACAAATAGGCAACAACACATTTGCCTTACAAGAGATTAAGGAGCCTTTGATCGGAGCAGACTATCACAACTACAAATATTTCGTGATGAAAGACTCCGACCTCAGGAACTGCCACACTATAGAGCCTTCAAGACATGTCTGCGACGTAAACATAGTTTACGACATGTCAAAACATCCCTCATGTGCAATTGATGAAGTTTTCAATAGACATCAGGGAACAACATGTGCGACCAGAAAGGTAGCAGTTAAACAGGTCATTTGGAAACGGCTCAACAGCGACAACACATGGTTTTTCATAACTGAAAAATCAACACCAATCACGATCATGTGTAACGGCTTCAGAGAAGAACTACTGCTCAACAACACAGGGATTCTCCACGTCAAGCGAGAATGCTTTGTCAAAACCAGCTCTCTCACGCTCAGAACAGGGTTCACAATGAAGCTCCAAGCAACAGACATGTTCAGCCGCACTATCAAGCTCCCAGAGATCGACACCATTGAATTCAGAAGGCAGCCCACAGTGATGCTGAACACCACCCACATAATTGGCCGCTCTGAAGACATCTTCACATCAGTAGCTCCACCTGTGCCAACAGTAGTACCACTCATGCTGAGCCCGATGTCACATCCCACTACGTACAGCGTTTCAGGAGTCATCGGATTCATCATTCTCATCTTCATACTCTTCAAGACAAGGGCACACTGGACCAAAATCTTTCATCGGAAGAAGTCAACAGAGCAGCCAGGAAATTTGCAGGAGCCACAGACAGAGGCCTCAAACCACAATCTGCCTCTAGTACAACGACTCCAGCTCATTCTCCAACCCAACAAGGAAACTTCGGATCTTCCCGGCGGCCAGGATGTTCCGGTTGAAACATGCAGTAAATGAATGTTAGATTTAAGTCCGAAATTGAGACACTATTTTTTACTATTTCTAACATTCTCAGGCCAAGCAAACTTAGTTTAAGTAATAGATATACATCTTAATCGCCAGGTTTAGGTCAAAAAGGTTTCAAATTTCAGCTAGATTAGAAAATAATAGTACCATTTCTAACCCCTTGCACGGCGGTGTAAAATATGCCATTTCCACCGCGAAAACCCGAATATATTTCAGCACACTAGATACTAACCACAACAAGGATCAAGTCCTGACTGAATCCTTGTTGATAAGATAAGATAAATGGGAGAAAAATCAAATAATCTAATCTCCATATAAAGTCATATGAGTCACACACTCGATGACCCACATTCAGAAAAATGCAGCGGGTGCATTTCTCGCCACCACTTTTCGTCACTTCTTTTGTCACTTTGAATTTGTCGATATTACAATTTGTCGCCGAATTAATTAAGTAGGGATAAGAATTTTGTGTATAAAAGACGGTGTAATGCATTGAATAAATCAGACTTCGCATGGAAATCCAGCAGCTTTCAATAAGTAAGCTTCCCTTCCATTAATATTTGCGATTTCTCAGGACCACTTAGCCTTGTCCGCAGCACCTCCAGTGCTTCTTTCAGCGGCTAAGTCTCTGGCTAATATCAGCGGCACTCTTGCCATTCATATTAGCGGCCAGAGTCGGCTCTTTCCCTGCCTCTACCAGCGGCTCCTCTTCAAGGAGCTCCAGTAAAAGCGGCAGTAGAGAAAGAAGTATTTTCTGAGGCTAAACCTTAGCCCAGTGCAAATCGGAGGCACCACCGGTGGTCGCCACTCACCAGGGAGCATTCTTGCTTAAGCCCGGTGGCATTAGATTGCCGTTGACCGAAGGCATTTTAGTCCATACAGGACGCGCCTTGCACTGTTGCAGAAGATACTTTGTTCTCTAGAGGGAGCAAGGGGACCTCTTGAAGAAATCGAGAGGCGACTTTCCTCCAGCAAAGTAATTCTCTAAAAAAGCCGATAGAGAATCTTTACACCAGAATTAGATCGATCGGTCCTGGTGTCATAAAGCAAGGATCTGCTATGGGAATGTTGTCCACATTAAAACTCTTGTATGATGCAGAACTGATCTCCGTTTGAGGCAAGAATCCTGTGAGTGACGAGAGTACCAGGGCGTTCAGCTCCAGCTGAAAGGTCGAGGGGAATCTTGGGGCCATGGTGAGACATATCTGATGTCGTGAAGTTGGAGCGGGTGCTCCAGCTATGCCTCTGACTGGTGCGTTGATCTTCACCCGAGGCAGAGCTAAGTCCTGAGCTGCTCTTTCTGATATAAACGAATCTCCAGATCCAGTGTCTATCAAAGCTCGTAGGAGTGTCCATGAACCATCAGCCTGTTTTACTTTAAGGAGAGCTGTGGGAAACAGAGGTGTTGCCGCAGCTGCGTGCAAGGCCAGTCGTTCCTCAAATTCATCCTTATTATCCCTGATGCTTACTAGAGCATCAGTGGGCTCCGCTTCCTCTTCTTCGAAATGTAACGTCTCATGATGTTCTTCGTCACATTGCTTGCACATATGAACCTTTGTGCACTCTTTGTCCCTGTCCTTTTTATGCCCGAGGCAATTTAGGCACAAGTCCAGCTTTATCGCCATCTGAAGCCTCTGATCTGATGTCAATTCCAGATATCTTGGACAGCTGGCGAGTGTGTGCTCCTCTTTGCACAGAAAACAAACCATCGTTGGCTTGGTCGACGTGGAGTGATACGATTTGTTGCTATCAATCCTATCCTTTCCTCCTTTCTTCTTCTCAGCGAAGTTCCTGATAGAAGACAGTACGAGATGTCTCTTGAACAGGAATTTAAGAAACTGTTTTACAGTAGGCACCTCGGTTGGCTCATCCAATGATTGTTCGAACAGCTGAATCGATTCATCATCCAGCTTCCTTATGCACATCCCTATTATCAAGGGATCCCAGTGCTCCGTGCGGTAACCTAGGCTTCCTAGCCCGGCGAGTACTTCGTTGAGCCTGTCGTGTAGATCAACGATGTCCTTGGCGCTGCGGTATTCGACTCTCCTGACGTCGAGCAACAGATTCACATAATCAAAGGTCGTCTTCCTTTTGTGATCATATCTGTTTCTTAGCAAGTCCAGCGCCGCTTTGTAGTGATCACCTGTAGGCGAAAGGTGACTCACTAACCGCTTTGCGTCCCCCTCCAGGTAGGACAGAAGATACGACATCTTGTCCGTATCGCAATGGTTCGGGTCGTTGTGAATAACGTGAGAAAACATTTCAAAAAATCCGCGCCACTCACTGGTTTTTCCACTAAACATGGGCACCTTTAGTGGCGGCAAATTTGGCCTCTTGTTCTCTCGCTTCAGCTCATCCATGACCATACGCAACATTTGCCCTCTTCCAATTTGAAGGACGAAAGGGTCTGAATCATTTTCCGCCGAGCGGAAAATATCGTCATTTTCCTCGTCGTCAAGGAAATTTGACTTGGAGCGGTCCTGTTTGCTCCTTGATCCTCCTGATTGAGAATCCTTCCATTCCAATGGTTTCTCCTTATGGGAATTTTTCTTTTTTGTGACCACTTTTTTGTACTTGTCAGCCTCCTCGGCCTGCAAAAAATCTCCCTGGGACTCTTTTAGTGTCTTATCATTGACGTGGGGCAATGTCGGGACTTCGCCAACAGAGTCGTCCTCTGAATCCTGAATGACACTCTTGCACATCTCCTGATATGCCTTTGACATGCCCTCCCGGGCCTCCTCGTAAAACGCTTTTATGTCCTCAAAAAGAGTGGTGCGAAAATATTGGTTGTCAGGCTCCAAATGTTCCACGAGAATCCCGTGATTTGTGGAAATGGTGGCCCAAAGCTTCTGGAGCTTGTCCATTGCTTTTCCAATATAATCCGCAGTTTTCCTGTTCCCCTCCTTTTTGAAATGTTTCCATAAGCGCTCCATATCTGCTGCGCGCGCCGCAGATTCAGCTAAAATCGCCGTGGTGTCCATGGCTTACGAATAGCGTGTGAAGAGGAATGGAAAAAATACACTGTCGCGAAGAGAAAAATGCACGCGCGCGATGTGGCAGTGAAGTTATTTGCCGAGCCAGCCAAATTTTTTCGTGCCCACGATGACGCGTTATTGAAATTATACGCGCTTCTTCCGTCGATGTTTTTTGTGTATTAATTCCTTCAGCTTGGACTTCCAAGTCCTTTACCTCCTCCAGGAGTGTTTCCAGATCCTTGATGATCTTAATGCGCCTCTTGGCATGAATTTTTATCCCTCTGCGCAAACTCTTTGAGCGCTCAAGCAAATGATAAAGGTTTTCGCAAGGAAATTGGGGGAATAAAATTCGTCGAATTTAAGAAGACGTTAAACGACAGCAAAGACTTGGGTTTTCCGTGGTCTCGAAGGACCATGAAAGCGAGAAAAGATGGAGTGATATCGGTGTGGCAGAGCTGGTGGCGAGATTCAGGAAAACCCTGGGAATCTCTCCTGCCGTTTGGGTCTTCTCTTGGGGGAAGGAAATTGCACCTCACGAGCGAGTATTCGCTCGAATGGGATGTAATCTCTTTAACCAAAGGTGACTGGCGCGAATGGATCGCGGCCGAGTTCCTTTGTGGGGTTGAGGGTGAACAATTAAACACTTGATTGCACTTAACACTTAATCTACTTTACTTCACTAACTAACTATAAATTCAATAAACAGTCATTAACAATAAGAAAATCAATGAAAGGTGGCTCCTGCCTGAACTTTTTGGCTCTTGCCGTTTGCAAATACTTCTTAGTACTGTTGGTCTCTTGACCACGCGAATTGTCTTAAAAACGCAAAGTTGCAGTTACTGCATCACCCATTGTTGGGCTTCTATGCACAGCCCAAAGGCTGTTTCACTGCACAAATGCGAAAGACGACTGAAATTAATTGTCGCCCGCGTCTCAATATATTGCAAATTTGTTTACGCTTCTCCTGAGGGAAGAAGTGTAAACGGCGAGAGTGGGAGAACTCTCCGCCCTTATTACTACATCAGCAAAACTGATCACAGCGTGGGTCGTCCCCGCTGTTCAAGTTAGCCTAAAATTAATTATAATGGGAATTATAAGATGGGAATTATTGATACAAAATTAACACAAATAAACCCTGTTCATTTCTCATGAACACATTCAATCCCAAAGAGATTATCGTGAGCGCTGGGCGATACGAGGCATCGCCGCTGGATCTCTTTGCCGTGGAATCGAATAGTAGCCTCAAACTGTCCAAGCACCTGGATGCGACTGGCCTGAGCATCGCGGACAGTGAGTGAAGATTCTTGAAGCGCCGGCTTGCCAATCTTCTCCCAGGCGTCTCTGGTCATAACAGAGACATCGGCAGCGCTGTCGAGCTGGAACAAGAGCGGCTGACCGTTGACCACAGGAGTGAGGTATCGTCGACCACGATACCGTTCTGAGTGTATGGCGTTAGCGCGGGCTTGCTGATTCTTCCTCTTCTTGGCGATGTTCTTCCTTCCGCGCTGTGCCTTGGGCTTCCCGGAGGAGGACTGAGCAGGTGGGCAGTACCCCGTCTTGTGGCCAATTTGGCCACAATCCTAGCACTTCGTCTCACGGTGGTTGCAGTCCCTCACGAAATGCATAGCACCGCACAGGAAGCAGGGCCGCGGAGGATGATCCCTCTTACCATGATTCGCATGGTTCTTCTTCACACTCACGACACTCACAGACGCGGCCGGGACGATATCGAGACGAGCATCCTTCTTCACGTTGGATAAGCGACGGGCCTCGTCGATGAGGAAGTCGACGTTGATCTTCTCTGAGTCCGTCTCCAATTTCGCCAGCAATTGCTCACGTACGGAGATGTGGCGGTCACTCCGGATGCTGATGCAGAACATGAGAGCCTTGAATTGGTCCGGAGTGCAGGCACTGATTTGGAAGTCTTCGCATAGACTGTTGATGAGGCCACCGTGGTTGCCCCAATCATCAGCCTCGTCCATGGTGTATTGGAGGCACTTTCTCCGCATGCTGAAGAGCGATTCACCTTTCCCGAAGAGATCTAGGATCATCTAACTCCCTGAAATCCCCAGGTATTTATCTTCCCGCCACAACATCTGGCGAACGAGATGGCTGACGAATCTGCTGCCAGCTTCCTCAAGGCAATTGAGAATCTCATCGAGCGGAAACTCGCCGAGAAATCACCTGACTCACCACGTGCTACCGCATGCTCGACTCCCGCACCTGAAGTCGAGGCTCTAGCTCGTGCCATCACGCCATTTACGGACTCACCGGACCAGAATCTGACCTTCGAGACATGGTTCAGCCGCTACAAGTCGACATTCCTGGAAGACGGGAAGAATCTGGATGAAGCGGCGCGAGTCAGACTTCTGCTACGGCGATTGGACGGTGCAGCGTATGCTCGATACGCTAACCTTCTCCGGCCTCGAGATCCCGCCGAGATCTCGTTTGAAGAGAATGTCCGGAGACTTTCTCGACTCTTCGGGAAAGGTGAATCGTTCTTCAGCATGCGGAGAAAGTGCCTCCAATACACCATGGACGAGGCTGATGATTGGGGCAACCACGGTGGCCTCATCAACAGTCTATGCGAAGACTTCCAAATCAGTGCCTGCACTCCGGACCAATTCAAGGCTCTCATGTTCTGCATCAGCATCCGGAGTGACCGCCACATCTCCGTACGTGAGCAATTGCTGGCGAAATTGGAGACGGACTCAGAGAAGATCAACGTCGACTTCCTCATCGACGAGGCCCGTCGCTTATCCAACGTGAAGAAGGATGCTCGTCTCGATATCGTCCCGGCCGCGTCTGTGAGTGTCGTGAGTGTGAAGAAGAACCATGCGAATCATGGTAAGAGGGATCATCCTCCGCGGCCCTGCTTCCTGTGCGGTGCTATGCATTTCGTGAGGGACTGCAACCACCGTGAGACGAAGTGCTAGGATTGTGGCCAAATTGGCCACAAGACGGGGTACTGCCCACCTGCTCAGTCCTCCTCCGGGAAGCCCAAGGCACAGCGCGGAAGGAAGAACATCGCCAAGAAGAGGAAGAATCAGCAAGCCCGCGCTAACGCCATACACTCAGAACGGTATCGTGGTCGACGATACCTCACTCCTGTGGTCAACGGTCAGCCGCTCTTGTTCCAGCTCGACAGCGCTGCCGATGTCTCTGTTATGACCAGAGACGCCTGGGAGAAGATTGGCAAGCCGGCGCTTCAAGAATCTTCACTCACTGTCCGCGATGCTCAGGCCAATCGCATCCAGGTGCTTGGACAGTTTGAGGCTACTATTCGATTCCACGGCAAAGATGTAGCGAACTAATGTATTCCGATTCAAAAGATAGAGGGAGTTAAGAGAAGTTAAGAGTAAGAGACTAGAATAAGAGAGAAATGTATGATAAAACCCCGGACTGGATTACAATAAAGCGGAGTTGAGTTTGGGACGTCAGGCGTTTCACTTCATCTGGTGTTTTCGCCAATAACTGTGGGAAAGTGCAAGTGAAAAGTTGTGTGACTGTGATTAATCGTCGATGCATCGTAGTCTGCACCTCAGAGGCAGAGTTGTTATATCAAAGGACAATCCGCAAAGGAAAAACAAGCAGCAAAAGAACCACAAGGAACAACAGAAGGATCAACATAACATAACAGTGCAAAATCAATCAATTTCTGAGGAAATTCCAGACACATCGGTAAATTTTCCGAGAGAGAATATCACTCCTCTCATCAAACAAATTCAACGACTACCAGTGAGCCTCAACTCCCCACGGATTCCATTAGCCATACAAAAGAGCATAGCAGATTGGGATTTGTCGCCGACGTCAATCGACAACACAATTACATCCACTCGAACGTCCTTACCACTCAATAGTACGTTCACCTTTCAACCTCGATCATCCTTGTCATCAACACAGATGCCTCTTCAGAGATCGCCTACATCTAGATTAGATTAGATTAGATTAGAGATGGGGGTGGTGCAAGAAGTCTTGCTCCACGGCATCCAGGCCATCTGACGGGCCCTTTATGCATCCCCGATACAAAATAACATCTACTATATGTTGGGACAAATCTTCCCGCCAAAAGACTGCGAGAAACCTTTTGTGCCGGGAATTGTGGCAGTGCCCGGGAACGGGATTCGCTCACTCGCTTCCTGGCCACCACAGCGAACACATCGTAGTTTTGAGTCTTTGTTAAGTTGAGTGAAATTCAGTGTTAATAAATACAATTAATCAAGCAAGACGTCGAGTCCTCAATCACAGCACGGACTCTTCTCAATCGGCGAAGCGGCTGGGATCTAATATCCTCGTCTTAATTAAAGGTAAATCCCAAGCTGCAACATCTGGCGACGAGCTGAGTGATGACTCCACATCAGGGCAGAGTCTTTGGCTTCAGTGCAGAGCTCCGGAACGTCTAAGACAAAGAAGCAGCCGTTACATTGTCCGGGCGCACTTTCCCGCCAATTTGGTGCATCATAACGGCAGGACCAGTCCGGGCTATTGCATTCACTGCTGAACAATGTCGAATCCCAATGCAGCTGCTGGACAAGTGGATCCACTCAAGCAGATCACTGACTTTCTGGCGGCTCAGCAGCAGACGTTGAACTATTTGCTGAACAGATCTCATGACCATGAAGGCCTCATCGATACTTTGGCGGCAACATGCACGACCTTCTCGTTTGACCCCGAGAACGGTGTCACCTTTGAGGATTGGTATCGTCGTCACGAAGACATTATCAAAGTTGACGGTGAAGTTCTCAGTGATTCCGCCAAAGTCCGTCTTCTATTGAGGAAATTGGACTCAGTGTCGTTCGCGCGGTATTCCAAATTCATCTTGCCAAAGAATACTCGCGACCTGAAGTTCGATGAGACGGTCAAGATCCTCTCGGACATCTTCACGGCACCAGTGTCGATCTTTTCAAAGCGCTGGAAGTGTCTTCAAGTGGAAATGAAGGAGACAGAGGACTTCATTGACTACATGGGTCGCGTTAATCAGCTGTGCGAGGATTTCCAATTCAACACCCTCAAGCTCGACTCATTCAAAGCGCTAATTTTTGTGCTGGGCCTCAAAAACCCGCGATTCGCCGAAGTTCGAACGCGGTTGCTCCACAAATTCGACACCAAGGTGGAAGGCATCGATCTCGCGTTTCTTCTTGAGGAGGCTAAACGTTTCACCAACCTGAAGAAAGACGCAGCGCTTGTGGGCTTTTCTGAGCACACATTCGAGCCACCAACAGCCACAGCGAAGGTCGTGAAGAAGCATTTCAAGCCAAAGCCCAATCGAAAGCAATTCAACACTCAAAACTCTGCTCCATCGCACTCAAAAGACTCTAACGATAAAGATCGACCAAGATCTCCTTGCTGGTTCTGTGGAAACATGCATTACTCGAGGGATTGCACATACAAACAGCACAAGTGCACTTCCTGCAATTCCGTTGGCCACAAAGACGGATATTGCCTCAGCGCAAGTAAGGCCAGGAAGTCAACCAGATCAAATGTTGTCCATATCGCCAACTGTGCCACAAGTGAGACACGGCGTTTCATCGACGTCTCAATCAACCATCACGATGTCTCACTGCAGTACGACACAGCCAGCGACCTGACCATCATCTCACACAAGATATGGAAGGAAATTGGATCTCCTGCTCTCACCAACACGCAGATCAGGGTCAAGGATGCTCAACTCAACGTCATGAGTATTCTTGGGGAGTTTGAATGCACAATCAAACTCAACGGCGCCACACACACAGGAAGATGTTTCGTCTCAGGGTCCAATAGCAACCTTTTCGGCATCGAGTGGATTCAGCTTTTTGATCTTTGGTCAAAGCCAGCTGATTCTTTTTGTCGGAACGTCTCAGTTGCTCCAATCGACAAGGCGAGACTCATCCAGCAGCTCAAGGAGGAGTTCAAAAACGTCTTCGATGATGGACTGGGACTCTGCACCAAGACGACCGCCACACTTCAGCTCAAGGAAGGGGCCAAGCCAATCTTCAGGGCCGAAAGACCAGTTCCTTATCACGTCATGGACTTGGTCGAGTGTGAGCTGCAGCGTCTTGAGGACAAAGGCATCATCAAACCAGTGACTTCTTCCGAGTGGGCTGCCCCAATTGTGGTCGCAAGAAAGGCAAACGGCTCTGTGAGAATCTGCGGCGACTATTCAACGGGTCTCAACAGCGCGTTGGAAGACAACAAATATCCAATCCCAACGCCTGACGACATCTTCCAGAAGCTGGCATCTGGTAAGATATTCAGCAATATCGATCTGTCCGATGCCTATTTACAGATCCCCGTTGATGAGGACTCACAGAAGCTCTTGACCATTCACACACACCGTAGTCTTTATCATTTCACACGCCTTGCACCTGGCGTATCAGTCGCCCCAGGACAATTCCAGGCCATTGTCGAGGGAATGCTGGCAGGCATAGACAATGTCGCAGTTTACTTTGATGACATCTGCGTCTCAGGTCCAGACATCACGTCGCACATCGCCACAGTCAGAAGAGTGCTTCAACGCCTTGAAGAGTATGGTTTCCACATCAAGCTGGAGAAGTGCAACTTTTTCCAGGCACAAGTCAAGTACTTGGGCCATATTCTGGACTCTCAAGGACTGAGACCCGATCCTGCGAAAGTCGCGGCCATCACGAACATGCCACCACCTCAGGATGTTCCACAACTGCGATCTTTCCTTGGCGCAATCAATTATTACTGCAAATTCGTCAAGCAAATGAGCAGTCTGCGCGCGCCAATGGATTTTCTCTTGCGCGATGGAGCAAAGTGGCTGTTGACGCATTTCACTGCAGAAATATCGTCGAGTGCGCTTCACGCCACAGAGATAAGAAAACCAGTTGCTTATCCAGTCCCGCTAGGGCACCAAAATTTAATCTATTTGTCTCTTGTGTAATTTTGCCTTCACCACTCTTTACCAGACCATCCAGCGTACCACATCGCGACTTATACACAATTATTGAATAATTAAATTCCAATTCAGCAACTTTTGCCATTTGAAGTGTAGAAAGTTTAAATATATTCGTTCTAAGTGAAGTGGAATATCTTTTTTACACCTCCACCGATCACCCAAGCTGTGCCACCAGAGGGGGAGAAAAATTTTTGCCCTCCGAGCCACATAGGCTAAATAAGTGAACAATTGCAGGTTGGTGCCCACCCATTTTTGCCCTTCAAGCCAGATAGGCTAAATAAGTGAACAATTGCAGGTTGGTGCCCACCCATTTTGGCCCTTCGAGGCAACGCCGACCAATTTGCGAAGGCGTCCACCAGCTTTTGCGGTGACCAAGTGCAGTCCACGCCGCCATTCAGCTCTGCCGTATCAATCTTCACACGCCAAGTAAGTTGTAACAGTGTAGAGTGAAAATTTGTGCAATTCCCATCTTTTTTTCCTTTCGCTCTCACCCTGTTTGATCATGACTCTCCTGAGCAAAAGAGCAACACTTAAGGGTCACCTGACTCGCATTGAAAATTATGTTGATTCCGTTCGCAAGGATGAGGCTTCCTTTTCGGCTACAGATATTGCCTCCAACATAACTAAACTTGATGACCTTAAAGCTCAACTCACAATGGTTCATGAAGAGCTAGTGAATACGGGAAATAATTCGGTGACTGAATATGAGGAGCACTCGAGAATCATGGAGCGAATTAGTCAGTTGAGGAGAATTTTGGGTGATGCTTTGGACCGGAAGGATGATAATGATGATCCTTTGCCCATCCCTGGCCCTTCTGGCTCTAATCATCAGCCATCAGCTCAAATTTCTGGTGATTCGTCAATTGCTAATTTAGAAAAAGCTCTTGCCATGCTCATTACTCATCAAGCACAAGCAGAGGTGCGCAATCAGAGCTTTTTTGATAAGCTGACCAATGTAGTGGCCCTCAGTTCACGGTTAGAACCACACGACGTCAGAAATCAGTCCCATTTGAAGCTCCCTGTGTTAACGGTCCCAGAATTTTCCGGTGATTACACTGTCTGGCATCACTTTAAAGACATGTTCAGCAGCATTGTTCATCTTAACCCTCGCCTCACTGATGTGCAACGTATGCAATATTTGGTCTCCTCAATCAAGGGAAATGCGAAGAAGTTGATTGATAGTTTGGCCATCACAGATGCCAATTATTCTGTTGCGTGGGACACATTAGTGGGACAATATGACGATCAGCAGTCTGTTGTGCATCATCACATTGCGCGCTTTTGCACGATGCCAGCAATTTCCACTTCCTCAGTTGATGCTCTTACGGATCTTTTTGCCACCGCCAATTCAGTTTTAAATTCCCTCGACGCACTTGATGTCAAGGAAAGAGATCCGTGGGTCATTTATTTGCTTTTGGAGAAGCTCGACCATGAAACCCAAGTTCTGTGGTCTCGCGAGGTTAAGAGTCAATCACCAACGATGGTCCAATTCTTGCAGTTTCTGAGAGAGAGACTAAAGTCCATTGCACAGTATAATTCTTACCCGGCCAAATCCTCATCTCAGGCCACCAAGTCCACTCCAGCTGGCCCAACCAGCAATAAGAATCTCAAGCCACAAAAAGCCACAGTTCTCTCTGCCACTGCACAATCTCCTTGTCCTGGATGCAAAAAAGAAGGCCACAAGTTGTTCAAGTGTCACAAGTTCATTGCCATGCCCTCCATAGAACGTCTGGAACTTGTCAGGAACAACAAACTGTGCCGAAAATGTATCACCGAGACACATTTGACGAAGGATTGTACATTTTTCACTTGCCGGAAATGCTCCAAACACCACAACACACTTTTGCACGAAGCCTTTCAGTCTGAGTCCTCACAATCCACTCCTGCTCAGCAGCAGACCCAATCGAATGATAGGCCCACAGACCCCTCACAGTCTGACTCCACAGCCATTGTCGGCTCTTCCACTGCCTCTCGCCCTGCTGTGAAGGTATTTCTGGAGACGGTTGTGGTACGAGTCTTGGATAAGTTCGGTGTTCCGCAGCTGTGCAGAGCTTTGCTGGATTCCGGAGCTCAAGTCAATCTGATTTCACAGCCCCTATTCCAAAGACTTCGGCTGCCCAAATCTCTGTCCGATGTGTACAGTGGGAGGGTGGTTGGAGGTGGAGCCAAGTCCAAATTCCAGGCTGAATGTTGTGTGCAGGCAGTTGACAATCAAGATGTCCATTTTTCGATGACATGCCAAAATGTTCCCGCAGTGTTGGAACAAAAGTTGCCTAATTGGAAGGTACAGGTGGATCAGATCGCCATTCCCTCAGAGATCTCCCTTGCCGACCCAACATGGCAAGTGTCTCAGCCCATTGATTTGCTGATAAGCAACGAATTCTATAACGAGATATTCACCAGACAGATAATGAGATTGGGCAAAGGCTTGCCAATTCTCAAAGAGAGCTGCTTTGGATGGGTTGTTTCTGGCGCCTATGCTAGCTCGTCACAGACGCGACAATCAGACCAGGTCGCGTATGTTGGAACGACGCTGGCCTCCATCGACTCATCGGTCCGGAAGTTTTGGGAAATAGAAGAAGTTTCCACTGCCCATCCTAAGACACTTGATCATGAGATCGTGGAGAACTGCTTCCAAGAGTCCACTGTCCGCGATGACACTGGAAGATATGTTGTGAAGATCCCCTTTCGCCCCAGTTTAGTGCGTCTTCATAACAATTTGCCAAATGCCACCAGACAATTTCTCAGTCTCGAGCGTCGTTTGTCCGCCAACCCAGAGATAAAAAGCCAATATCACGCTGCGATGCAGGAGAATTTCGACTTGCGATTTTTTGAGGAGGTTCCCCCAGATGAGATCACTTCCACTTCTTACTATATGCCTCATCACGCTGTTGCTAAGAAGTCCTCCTCAGGAGTTAAAGTTCGCATCGTCATGAATGCCAGTTCAAAATCCCAAACAGGCCTCAGCCTGAATGATGTTGCCATGGTGGGCCCGACAGTTCAGCCCGACATCGTCGCAATTCTCCTCAGATTCCGAGAACACCCGTTTGCATTCTGTTGTGATATCCAGAAGATGTATCCTCAGGTGCTAATTCATCCCTCCCACAAAGACTACCATCGCATTGTGTGGCGATTCCGAGATTCGGAACCCATTCGTCATTATAGGGCGAGAGGAGTTTGCTTCGGCGTAAGTTCATCGCCTTATCTCGCGACAAGAGTCCTCATCGATCTGGCGGATAGAGAAGAGGTAAAATTTCCACTCGCTGCTAAGGCACTGAAGGAGAATTTTTATGTGGACGATTGTCTCGCATCATGCCCATCCATTTCCGATGCACTTGAAACTCAACGGCAGTTGAAGGAATTGTTGAGTTCCGCTGGCATGACGCTCGCCAAATGGTGTGTCAGCAGTCCAGAAATCACAGAGGAAGTAGAACCCTCACAGGTGCGCAGCATCTTTCCTGAACAGTCCAAGGCTCTAAGCATGCTTTGGCACCCTCAGAATGATGTTTTCGTCTTCCAGCTCACTCGAGATTTCATTGACGTCAATTCAAAGCGAGAAGTCCTCGCGGCAATTGCGTCACTTTATGATCCTCTTGGTTTCGTCTCTCCAGTGATTGTTATTGGAAAATTGATCATGCAGGCCCTTTGGAAAGAGGAAAAGTTGGATTGGGATGATCCGCTTCCGGAACATATCAGTTCCCAATGGAAACAATTAGCCGAAGGTCTTCCAACCCTTCAGGAGATCAAAGTTCAGCGCCCAATGTCGACTTTGACGTCTCCCAAGTCCACCGAGTTGCATGTCTTCTGCGACAGCAGCTCAGTTGCATATGGTGCCGTGGCTTATGTGGTCACAGAGGATGATATCCATGGTCGCCAGTCTCAGATTCTGATGGCAAAGTCGCGCATTGCTCCCACATCGTCGATCACCATCCCCAAATTGGAATTGTGTGCCGCAGCTCTAGGCTCTCAGTTGGCCCACAAGATCAGAAATGCTCTCTCAGTCACGGAATATTTCTTGTGGACAGACTCGACGATTGTTTTGGGGCAAATCAGATCAAACCGCATTAAATTTGACGTTTTCACCGCGCATAGAATCGCTGAGATTCTCAGACTGACGGACGGTTCGAAATGGCAGCACGTACCGGGAGCCTCAAATCCTGCGGACGTTGTATCGCGTGGTATGTTGCCCACAGAATTGAAAAGTTCATCTATATGGTGGACGGGCCCAGAGTTTTTGTTGGGTAAGGCCGAAAACTGGCCTCAAGACCCGTATAGTGTCACGCTCATTGCTTCGTCGACTGCCATTATCAATCAGGTCCCAGAAAGTCACATCCTTGACACCATCCTTGAAAGATCCAGCAGTTATCTGCGGATACAAAGAATCCTAGCATACGTGCTAAGAGTCCTGACAGGTTCGCCTAGTCGCATTAGAGGTCCCATTACATCCCAAGAACTCCTAAAATCAGAGCACAAACTAGTATCTTTTGCACAAGCTCAACACTAGGCAGAAGTGAGATCAGCCATTGCCGATGGCACCATGTGGACCAGCAGGAGGTTCGCCCATGTGCGCCACTTGACTCCCTTCATTGATGGAGAGGGAATCATCAGAGTGGGTGGCCGACTGGCTCAATCGCCTGCAAACTACGATGCCCGCCATCCAATTCTTCTGCCCAAGTGTCGCCTCGCCACGATTATCGCCACCCACACACACAAGAATAACATGCACGCGGGACCACAACTGCTTCTGGCCACTCTGCGTCAGAAATATTGGCCGCTGGGAGGAAGAAATCTGACCAGAAACGTCGCTCGCTCATGTGTTGTGTGCTGGAAAACCAAGCCGATCCGACAGGAGCAGAGAATGGGAGATCTTCCCACGAGTAGGACAGATCACGTGGCTCCATTCAAAGTGTGTGGCATCGATTTCTGCGGCCCAGTCCTCACGCGTCCTAGCTACAAGAGAGGAGGTACATCATATAAGACGTACATTTGCGCCTTTGTCTGCTTCACGACGAAAGCCATTCACCTGGAAGTTGTCGGCAGTCTCTCATCCGAGGGCTTCGTCGCTGCGCTGCGGAGATTCGCGGCCAGGAGAGCTGCTCCAAGCGACATCTTCTGCGATAATGTCACCAATTTTCGCGGAGCCAGCGCAGAGTTGGCAAAGTTTCTGCGAGACATCCAGTCATTGCCAGACGTCGTTTTAGAGGCAGCCCCCAAGGGCATCAATTGGCACTTCGCGCCACCAAGATCTCCTCATCATGGCGGACTTTATGAGGCGGCGATCAAGTCCCTCAAACATCACTTAGCCAGAGAAGTTGGACAGACTATTCTCACATTCGAGGAGTTGAACACCATCGTAGCACAGATCGAAGCCATCCTCAATAGCAGACCAATCACGCCACTCTCCGAGGATCCAAATGAGATGTTCGCGTTGACTCCTGGCCACTTTTTAGTGGGACGCCCACTGAACGCGCTCCCGGATCAGACGCTCATAGATGTTGCGCCAAATCGTCTCTCCAGATGGCAACTTTGCCAGAAGATTCTGCAGCACTTCGCCCATCGTTGGAGGAAAGAATATCTCCATCTTCTTCAGAAGAGAGTCAAATGGACGCAGGAAGCGGACAACTTGAAGATTGGAGACATCGTTCTCATCGGCGACGATTCAATGGCCACACATCAATGGCCAATGGGCATCATCGAGGAGCTTCATCCGGGCAGAGATGGACGATGCAGAGTCGTCACGATCAGGACAGCAAGGGGTAAATACAAAAGGGCAGTTCAGAGGCTGTCCAAATTGCCCATCGAGGGACTCCCGCCCTCATCATCGGCCCCCCCAGGATGTTGACGCATTTCACTGCAGAAATATCGTCGAGTGCGCTTCACGCCACAGAGATAAGAAAACCAGTTGCTTATCCAGTCCCGCTAGGGCACCAAAATTTAATCTATTTGTCTCTTGTGTAATTTTGCCTTCACCACTCTTTACCAGACCATCCAGCGTACCACATCGCGACTTATACACAATTATTGAATAATTAAATTCCAAATCTACAACATTTGCCCTCTGAAGTGTATAAAGTTTAAATATAGTTAATTATACGTGAAGTGAAACATCTCTTTTACACCTCCACCGATCATCCAAGCTGTGCCACCAGAGGGGGAGAAAAATTTTTGCC